TTCTTTCTCTTTCTTTTGTATTGTGATATAAATTATTTTCTAAATTCTCAAAAAAAAATTTAAAATATGCAGCCGCTATATATATCCTCACCTTGGAGATTTGTTTTTTTGCTTCAGTTTTCTCAAAAAGTCTGTAATAAGGAAAGAAACCTCTTCAGTGAGACATGTGAAGAATAGACAAACAGTGAACCATTGCTTCTGGCTACCCATTTGTCTGTATCTTTTGGATGGTCGCTTACGGTCACAGATTTCTATAAAATGTTCTTTTAAAGAAGGGCACTCAAGGTTCAGTTCACTTCCACTCTTTGTATTGCTTTCTGAAAACTTTCAAAGCCGCTGTCTCAGCAGCACTTTCTATAGACAGTTGATTTATTTCACAAGGTACAGACTCCTAGTCAGTGGTTTTTCTGACTTTTTCTGTGTTTTACAAAGGCAAGAGGATATAGCATTGCTTAGGAAAAATCCATTTTCTCCAAGTAAGGCTCTATAAATGGCATTTATTTAACTGAATATTGATCACAACATAAATCTCATAGGCTTATCATTCCTGAGGTGCAGGAGAACTGGAGGGTGAAGTGCAGAAATTGTCTCAGTAAAAGATATGGACGGTACAATATAAGAGTGATGCACTGGAATTGTTCATGCACTTCCTATACTTCTAGATAAGATTTTTCAGCTAATTCCTCACACACAGTTTAAATATTACTCTAGAGAATTACACAATCTATAGAAGTTTTGCATGCTAAACAGGAAAGGGACAGATATTCAGTTATTTGTATGTCAGCTAGAAATCTGGACCATGGCCCTTATGACAGAGAAAAATCTCTCCTTAACTCACACCATTCCCTATTTTCAAAAAATGACAATATTCTGCAGCTATCTGTACCTGTACCAAAGCATTTGTGCAAGATGTAGCATTTGGGGCCATTGCTATAGAACACTGAAGTGCTACTTTTTTTCCTGGTATGTGAGAGACAGACAACAGAGAGACTGAACACAGAAAACCTTTATTGATCCTGAATATGGGATCTGTTTTCACCATGACAAAAGATTAACAATGGAATGCTGTATCCTGTGTAATAGGACATGCGTTGGTTAATACATTTCTTGGTGAGATGGAAAAGTGAACAGTGATGCAGTAATATTTATAGGCAAAAACATTATTTAGGTTAGTCAAGACTAGAGAAAACTGTGAAGAATTCTTGTAGGGACCAAACAAAACTAGGTGAATGGACAGTAGGATGGCAGATGAAATGCAATTGCCAATGCAAGCTAATGCACACTTAAATAATAATTTCTCAGACACATTACTGGGATCTAACCAACCAGGAAAAAGAGCTGGTTATCATAGTGATAGCTCAATGCAAACTTTTTATCAATGTGAAGCAGTGGGTAAAAATACAAACAAAAATTCAGTGTACATATAAAGAAGATTGAAAACAGTACTGAAAATATAATGTTGTTATATAAATTATGCTTATTATATTAATTATTATACTAATATTATACTACTATTCATATTATATTTACAAGTTACACTGTATTAAATTCTAATTATTATGCTAATATTTGTATATTGCTTTTATATACATCAGTGGTACAGTGTTCACTCACCTGATTAACTGTGTTCAGTTCTAGTTACCCTATCTCAGATAAGATCTAGCATTGACAAAAGGGGTTAAGAGATGGGTGACAGAATTATTAGAGGGATGGAAAAACCTGGAACAGATATTGAAAAAGATTAGGGTGACTGAAGTAAATGCAACTCCCCACCAAGTCACCCCATTGACTTCAGCAGGGCAAGGATTTCACCTTAGGAATGTTTTTCATTTGGAGTTAAAATGAATCAATGAAGACAGAAAGGGGCTTTGAAATAATGTTGTAAATAAGTAAATCCCGTTGTACATAGATTTGTGATTCCACATCCTTCAAGATATGAACCAAAAAGTTCTATTTGTGCATAACAATAAGAAGGGCATATGTGTCACTGTTCACTTTTCCATCTCACCAGGAAATATATTAAACAATGTGTGCCCTATTACACAGGATAGCGCATTCCACTGTTAGTTTGGGAGAATGTCTAGGCTGCAGTGCCAATGTTAATTTGTCATAGGTCTGACTCATCATGGAATCTATATGCTGTGTATGTTTTAAATAACAATCAATTAGCTGGGTATAATTTCCTCTCTGACTGTCTCTCTCCCTTCTTGCCTATCATCTTCAGGTTTTTAATGTATTGTGTTATTCCCTTCTACCTCCATTGCTGACAACTTCTCTGCCCACTAATGTGCCAGACATAACACAAGTCGAGGATTCAAAATGACTTAATGACATGAGGGTTAGTAGGGAGGAGAAAACAACAATACTATTAGAAAAACTGCAGACGGAGGAAATACAAACTTATGTAAAATTTTCAGTAGTTTTTACTATTGTGGTGACTGAATGGCCTCCAAGACAGAGTTCAGCCAAGTCGAATAAAGGGCTTAGTTTATCTGCAGAACAGAACATATGATAGCTTTGTTCTTGAAGTCTGGATCAGAGATTAATCCATGTGTACAACAAATGAAAAACCTTTTTGGCCTTATTTGCGAAGGTGCTGACCACTTGTAGCTCCAACTTTTGTCTTGGAGAGACTAAAGGCCTGATGGAAAACTCACTGAAGTCAATGGGAGGCTTTTTATTGACTTCAGTGGGCTTTGTATCAGATCCTCAGTGCTAATTTAAGGGAAAACCAGATGTCTGTGGCATTCGATGACTGGCATTTTAGGGCAGTATTAAAGATCTAGAAGATGCTGGCCCCTAGTCTTTAATATACTATGTCCCTGTTGCTGCTGCAACTTCTGGGCTGCTAGATGCCAGAATATTTTTGGTTTTGAGTGTGCTGTATACTTTCCACCCTGTATCTCAATACGATGAAAACATTTGTGTTTGTGTACACATACATATGTACGGTATATATACATGTATGTGAACAATGTAGAATCTTTGAAAATATGTATTTGGGGGAGTCTAATTCATTTTTGGTACCACAAATCTTTCTTTTTTTAAAAGTAATTTTACAAAGTTGTTTAGATTTCTGAAATGACATTCTCAGGAATATGTATGACCCTCTAGATGTAGATGTTGGTTTAATGCTTTCTATTTGTCATGTTAACTTTTGTCCTTGCGGCACTTGATACTACTAGCTATCAGTATATGGACCTTGTATGAATCTTATAGGTACTGACCTGGGTGCTCGATTGAGCAATTATAAATTACAAGTCTCACCTTATGTGTCACAAGCATTGTAGATGTAATTTTTGCTGCTTGCCTAAGCTTTGTACTCTATAATTCTCTTGGGTAACAGTGATTAGGAAATTTAATCTAGGTTTTCACTGCAATGCACATGGCACCTAGATTCCTCATTTGTCTCTTCTAATGGATGTCCAGCAGTTATGGCATTTTCCATTCTCTGTCATTGCTGGTGCCTTTCAGACATGAGATTATGAGTAGAACAGAAACTGTCTGAAGATCACCCCAGATAGGATTGACATCATTCTAATTTGCTAACAGTATCATCTGCGTACTTGTCTTCTCCAAGATCTTTTTGTAGGCAATTTGTTCATTTTGGCCACCTTTGAAGTTAAGGACTCTGGTCTAGTAATGGATATGATCTGATGTACAGAATTATCTTCTTACTTAGACACAAAATGTCATATCAACAACAACTGTGAAATATTACCAAATAACTCCCCTTTCTTGGGCAGCTAGATGTTAAAAGGCCATTCTGCTCTTTCATCATGTAGAGAAAGTATTATAACTTTCTTTCTGGTATCATTAAAATAAGCTTAATTGTATATAAAATATGAAAGGAGAAAAAGCTGACATGTAGAAGTCTTTTCAAGTGCTCAAGAGCATAAATTGACCTCCAATTAAATTTTGCATTGTTTTTCTAAATTCCTTTCTTTTCATGCATGACATTTTCCAAACTTTATTTTAAGTTACTTTCTCATTATGATGCTGGATGAGTTTTAGAGCTACTTAGGCTATTGTTGAATGTTCAAAATATAGACTGGGGAAAAAATTGGTTAAAGCTGCATTTTTTAAAAAATTTCTGTAAAAGCAAAAACATTAATGACCAGATATTTTGACTTAAGAATTGCTCTTAGTTTGATATTTGTTTTATTCTGCTAGTGCAACACGAGGTTTTGTCACTGCACTGTATATAGTACTCCGAGCTCAATCTAGCTCATGTCAAAGTCAATGGAAAGACTCCCATTGACTTCAGTAGGAGCTAGATCAGACGCATTACGAGGTCACCATAAATGAAGGAGTCAGATGTTCAGTAGTTTATTCTGTAGTCCTGTACAGCATTTTGACTTTCATGATCTCTTGTCTTAAATGTGAGCTGCTTACATTGCTTCTTTTTTGTATGACTTCAGAAACAAATGTCAAAGCTGGTCAGTAAATGGACAAGAAAATTAATTTGAAGGAGATTCCTCATCTCTTCCCGACCCACACCCTAGTTTTTTCTTTGTTTTTATTTTCTTTTTTGTGCATATTTTGATACTGATTAAAAGACTTAGAGGCACAGGTGTAGACACTGAAGTCCTCTCTCCACAAGGCAGGTATGACATTGGTAACAGAAGTGCCAGCTTCCTACACTGCCGTACCAATGTGCCTCAACCTTTACCTTGGAGGTGTGGGGGAATACTTGACTCTCCAGCCTTGGCTTCTCTACAGAGGATGCCAAAGGTGATGGTAATTTTAGTGATAGGGACGACCATCCACTAGGAGCTTGGCTGAGAATCACATGAAACTGGTGGCTACCAAAATATATCAGATGGTAAAGATTTCAATCACTACTAATCTAACCTGAATTTGAAATGAAGACTGAAAGAGAAAAGGTTCCATGTGTCATTGCTAGTTCTCTTTCTATTTGTCTATTATAATAACCTTGAGGGGGGGGAAATCTTCATTTGTAAGTTGATCAGCTGAGGTCATTGTGCTATGTTTTCCAGAGTTGATAATTCAGAAGATCCAGTGTATGAGAGTTTAGAAGAGTTCCACGTTTTTGTCTTAGCACATATATTGAGAAGACCAATTGTTGTTGTAGCAGACACAATGTTAAGAGACTCAGGGGGAGAAGGTAAGTTTTTCATTAGCACTTTATGCACCTAGCTAAAACAAATAAATGTAGTAGCAAAAGAATTTTAGAGCACAACACATTTGTCCATTATAACAGTCTTTTTATTATAATGTCCATAAACGAGGGGTACCAGTGCAGAGCATTTCAGGGATTTTAGGTCTGTGGAGCCCATCATCTTTCATGTGACTTGATTCATGTGTCTAAAACCATATACAGCACTGTAAACATTTGCCCCATTTTAAAAACAATATTGAAATTCAGGGAATCCATAACAGATTTATAGGGCAATCAAGCTCTGTTAGCAAAGTTCTAATTCTGCTGTATTCTTTTCTCCTTCCATACTCTGCAATCATCATTTCTCTATCAGTGTTTATGCTTCTTTTTAATTTTTCCTTCGTATGCATTTCCTTCTAAAGTTTAAGCCCTTGTTTAATATAAAAGTCACCGAATTTAAAAACACATTCTATAGTTGTATGGCTTATCTGAAGCACATTGAAGTCATTGACTGCAATGGGCTTTGGATCAACTCCCGGGTCTAAATACATTTTTAAGGATAGATCAACTTTTTATATTTTCCTATTGACTTACTAAAAGAGGGTAGGCAAATATTGCAATTCATGTGGACTGTACCATGTGAATTAGGACACCAATAACAAACCACTAAATAGTGAATTGTGCAATGTATCATCAAATCAAATAGTTTGCAAACAATTCGTGCACTAAAATGTGTTCTGAGAAAGTAGTTTGAACCATTTCAAGTAATGAACACATTTATAAAGTTCAATTTGTTTGCACATAAAAAAGTGAAGTTAATCCAATAAACTATTCACTATGAATAATTTGCGCAGTTCCTATTATAGTCCTATTTTTTTCTGAATGTTTTTGCATATGTTATCCCATGATGGGTCTTTGTATGTAGTAACACTTATTATTAATGTCATCTCAAAATTCCCACTATAAGCCCCTGTTTACAGTTGCTTATAACTTTGCCAAACTATAACCACTTAGGCTAAAATTTTCCATGCTGAGTGTCTGCCTTAGGCTGAATTCTTTTGGAAAATTTCAGCTAAATTTGTTTGGCTGTTTCTGAGAACGAAGCTGGGCGGACCTGTATTGTTTGCCCATGTTAAAAAAAATTCTAGTGATCTCTTCTTTGAGAAGCTCTAACACCCTTATGCTTTGGAGCAGGGATTTGAAATTTGGCAGGGCTGGCCTTAGTGTCAGAGAAGTGCCTTTTGCCATCCCCATCTAAATCCACCCAAATTTGGCGAAGTTCTAAGCCTTTGAAAAATCACTGTTCACACATGCCCACGGCCAGACAACCTTAATTATGGTATTTCCTAACTTGCAATCTTAATAGTGTTCTCTTAACATAGTTTTCAGAGCAGAGCTAGAACCTTTAAATCCACCCCCCAAACCTCTGCCACTTGAGGTAACAGCATAAGTGATGGCAGTAGCAGGCTGTCATTCTCTATGTGGACCAGCACTGGGGAGAGGGAGAGGGTATGAAGCACACACTTTGCCATGAGCAAGCATGAACTGCAATTTTTGTAAAGACTTATACACTTGGATAAAACTATATATATTTTCCCTCGCCTCATTCTTGGAAATTTCTGAACCATTTTGGCTAAAATTTATCAAACATCTTAGCCTGACAGTCACCCAGCATGTGAAATTTCAGCTCAAATGATTATAGTTTGCCAAACTTATAGGCAACCAAAAACAAGCTCTTATCCTGGGAAGTGTTGGTTTAATCTTATGAATAGGCAGTGCTAGCATCCCTGCCTATATTGTAAAGCGAATAATGCACAGTTAAATAGATCATCACATAAAAAAGTATTTTTTTCCTGGTGCAGATTTTTCCATACTTTTTCCCACATTTTTGTGTTACTAATGTAAAACAAGTGTTGAAATATGAGTTTAACTGGGGCAGGCTTGAAAACTAACAGTGTTTAACACGTAGATAGTACTTTCCTCTTCAGAGTGCCTTGCAAACATTAATTCATCTTTGCTGCCTCCTACCAAGCTGTGAAGTAGGTAAGTGTTATTAATTATCCTCGTTTTACAGATGGGCACACTGTGGCAGAGATAAAGTGATTTTTCTAAAGTCACAGAGGGAGTCATTCTCAGAGCTGGATTTAGAATTCAGGAATTCCTAGCTGCTAGTCTGTTACTCAGACCAATAGACCATGTTTACCTTTCCATGAGAAATGATTTGTGGTTTTGTGGGGGCAAAAAAAGGTGTTTAGTCACTGCTTAATGGGATATTGTTCTGAATGTTATAGTTATATGAAACTTATGACTTGCATTACTGTCTCATGTATAGTATAAGAGCCTCTGTAAAATAACGAGGCTCCTGTATAATAATACATTAATTGGTACTGTGACGTTCCCCTCTGGTGTTATCTGGACCGGTGATCTGCTAGGTCACTCCAATCCTTGACTCTGGGAGCCAGCCTTACCCTGCTCTGCTGTGAGAACCCCCACTCCTGGGCTGTTCATGCACAGCCTCTGGCATGTAAGCTGCCCCTTGGCTTATGTAACCAAATGACACTAGCCAATATCTCCGGTCCCAGACACAACCCTAGGAACCTCCGTCTTGCAGTGTCCAGTTATGCCTGCTCGACGCTGCAATCTTATATGAGTTTGTCAATTTAACAAAGAAATTTATATGTACCAGGCTTGTTATCCCAAGGGGAGTCTCTGACATGCTTCAAACCAAATGCGCTGCTTCGGGTGGAATAAACAAACAGATTTATTAACTATAAAGATAGATTTTAAGTGATTATAAGTCAAAACACAACAAGTCAGATTTGGTCAAATGAAATAAAAGCAAAACACATTCTGAGCTGATTTTAACCCTTTCAATGCCCTTACAAACTTAAATGCTTCTCACCACAGGTTGGCTGGTTGCTCTTCAGCCAGGCTCTCCCCTTTGATCAGCGCTTCAGTCGCTTGGTGTGGTGTCTGTAAATGTGGGTGGAAGAGAGTGAGAGAGAGCATGGCAAATGTCTCTCCCTTTTATCATGTCCTTTCTTCCCTCTTGGCTTTGCCCCCTCCCCTTCAGAGTCAGGTGACCATTACCTCATTGCAGTTCCAAACTGACCAAAGGAAGGGGGGTGACTCCCTCGAAAGTCTAACAGATTCTTTTGTTGCTGCCTAGGCCAGCGTCCTTTGTTCCTGTGAGGCTGGGCTGGGTTTGTCCCATACCTGCCCTGATGAGGTGTGAACTGCCTCTTCGTTCTTGGAGAGTTTTTGCCTGGGCTTGCTTTAAGCCATGATGATACATTTTCAGCCCCATAATGTATACATGAAATTATAACCTATAACATTACTGTAACAATTACTATAACATCACTATAACAACCAGGCTCAGTGCATCATGAGCCTTCCAAAGACCACACATGACAAACTTTGCATTGAATACCACACAATCATTTTATAAAGATGAACATGGGGGTGTAGGATGTTCCCCGAGGTACAGAGAGTCACAGATACTTTAAATTTTCAGGCACCCATTCTCTAAAACCTCTGCCACTTTAACAAAAAAACTAGAAAATGTAATATATGATGATAATAAGTTGGCCAAATCAATACATGAACAGGGCTTAGAAAAAATCCTTCCCCAATATACAATAATTGAATGAAATATCAAAGAACACAAAGGAAAAAGGAACACAAACACTTGAACTCTCCCCTTGCAGAGACAATACTCATAACAAATTGTAAATGAGCACTACATATGCAACAGTAATCAAAGAAAATCTGTTTGGCAAAGAAATCTAGTAGCCAAGGATATAATCAGACTACATTGCCAAAAAAAAAAATTGATACCGCATGTTTGGTGCCGATAATGAGAAACTTTTCCTTGTAACTAAAAATATTCCATGGAAAATTCAATTCTGCTCATGTGTATCAGACATGAAGATCCTGTTGTTATACAGTTACATCTTCACTAATAAACCATTGCAATTAGGGGAGAATTTGGGACAGGAACAGAATTGTTTCATAATTATTTCTAAATTGATAATTCCTTTAAAATTTTACCATGAGACTTAAACTGTTCTTTAGACTATTTTCAACACCAAAGAATTAGGTTTTCCCCTCACTTAACACTGCCTGCTGAAACCCACATGTAGCTCTGATAATGTTGAGTAGTAACTGGTATAAATTATATAAATAATTTCAGGGTCCATTTACTCTCTCCATCCCATTTTTTATTGTTTGTTTATTTCAAGAAATCTTGCATCTGTCTTTGCAGCATTTGCACCTATCCCATTTGGAGGAATTTACTTGCCATTGGAAGTTCCACCTAACCGATGTCACTGCTCACCTCTTGTCCTGGCTTATGATCAAGCGCATTTCTCTGCTCTTGTATCCATGGAACAAAAAGATCAACAGAGAGAACAAGGTATGCTGAGAAATTTCCTATCTAGTCAATATTTTGTGGTGGAGTGGAATGCAAAGTGCTAATTGCTGGTTTTTATCTATCTAAAAGGAAACTGCACCCATTGGATTTTACTGGGTAGACTCATTTTAATCATCTAAGAACAAGACTGGAGCCAAGAGCTCCTGAGTTCTAATCTTTGCTCTAATACTGATTTTCTCTCTCTGACGTGCTCTTAACCCCTTTGTGTCAGCTTACATATATGGAAATGAGATACTACTTACCTGTCTTACACTAGGGATCCTGAAGGCATTCATTAATTAGAGTTAGTAAAGTGTTCTGAAGATGAAAAGTGGGTCACGCGGTTGTGATTGAAAGCTTACATAGGGTATGTCTACACTGCGATGAGGAGATATGATTGCAGCTCATGGAGGAGCTCATAGCCAAGTTAGTTTTGATCTAGCTAGATCAAAGCTAGATCAAGTTCCAATAGCAGTGTAGTCAGGGCAAAATGGGTGGTGGCCCAGGCTAGTTTCCTGAATACAGCCCTGCCCAGGACCTTGGGTAAATGGCTAGAAGCTGGACCATGCTAGTCATGGCTACACTGCTATTGTTACTGGAGCTAGCTTTGGTCTTGCTGTGTGCTAAAGTCACACCTCCCGACTGAGGTGTAGACATACCCCTAATGAAAAGTATCTTTTGAGTTGTGTATTAAACATATTTTTCCTTTAAAAAATCAGTTAAAATTTTTATTTCTGATCCACTTGCTGACATCTGTTCTTCTGCAAAAAAAAAAGTGATAGCAGCTGTATAAAGATATTTTACCATACGTTTGTATACTAGGTTTCAATCTGTTGAAATATTGGGCTAAGAATGAGAAGAATCTTAGTGCCAGATTCAATCCTACATCAAGAGTTGAGGAGCTGGTCATGGCTCCCTGACCCTGAATGCCAATCTGCACCAGCCTCAACAATGCTTAGGGTATCTGCTCAGCTGTTCTAATGCAAGTCTCTGCTTTTCAGGTTCCCTCCCCACTCTGAACTCTGGGGTACAGATGTGGGGACCCGCATGAAAGACCCCCTAAGCTTATTTCTACCAGCTTAGGTTAAAAACTTCCCCAAGGCACAAATCCTTCCTTGTCCTTGGATGAGTACTGCTGCCACCACCGTGTGAGTTAGACAAAGATTCAGGAAAAGAACCACTTGGAGTTCCTGTTTCCCCAAAATATCCCCCCAAGCCCCTTCACCCTCTTTCCTGGGAAGGCTTGAGAGTAACTAAGGTGGGCACAGACCAGACCCTTGGGTTTCTAGGACACTAAAAACCACAATCAGATTCTTAAAAAACAGAACTTTATTATAAAGAAAAGTAAAGAAGCACCTCTGTAAAATCAGGATGGAAGGTAATTTACAGGGTAATCAGATTCAAAACACAGAGGATTTCCCCTCTAGGCAAAACTTTAAAGTTACAAAAATAGGGATAAACCTCCCTCTTAGCACAGGGAAAATTCACAAGCTAAAACAAAAGATAATCTAACGCATTTCCTTGCTATTACTTACTAGTTCTGTAATATTAGATGCTTAGTTCAGATATGGCTTAGGGAGCTGTATTTTCCCTGCCCTGGTTCCTCGCTGACCCAGAGAGAACACAAAGGAACACAAAACAAAAACCTTCCCCCACAGATTTGAAAGTGTCTTCTAGGGGAAGTTTTTTGTTTTGTGTTCCTTTGTGTTCTCTCTGGGTCACTTCTATTGGTCCTTTTGGTCAGGTGCCAACCAGGGTTATTTGAGCTTCTTAACCCTTTACAGGTAAAGGAAGGATTAACCCTTTACAGGGTAAGGAGGGATTTTATGCTACCCTTAGCTGTATGTTTATGACACTGGTGTAGGGTCCTTAATGGACCATATGCTAGTGGAGGATAGGCCTAATTCCACCACATCCCTCTTTTCCACAGCACAAACCCTATTCTTGGGGTGATGGGATAGCTAGTGCAGACCTAGATGTGGCACATCTGTGCCAGCTGGGATTTCTCCTGTGCCAGGGTAATTCTCTGCTGACTTTTTGTAGCCATTCTCCTGCTGCATATGTGTTTCCCATTACAGTTAGAAATAGGAAGATGGTAAACCCTTTCAGTAGTAAAATTCTTAGGTTTCTTTAACTAGAGCATCCTAACACGTTGCAGGCTCAACCATCTAGCCTAAACCTGAGGCCCTACTGGGCCCATGTTATTCCAAAGCTTGTAACTTCATGCAGGGTGGTGCCCAATGAATCCACCCAGTCTCATGAGTGCTCAGGCCTCCTCACAAGTCCATTCTTCCTCGGTACTGATGGAAAGGTAAAGCTTAATTCAGAGGAAAGACCATTAGTGCATCCTGATCTCTGCAGGTTCAGGAAAGCCTTTCCCCACAGACCCCAGTAATATTGTCCCCATTGAGGGGAATCTAACCCCAGCTGCAAGGACGACTCACCAAAATGTGTGATCTTGTGAAACAAACCATCAGTTAAGTGAATCGCAAAACTCACACTTACTCAGCAAGTGCAGACATTTCTGCTGATTGAGACTGATACCACACCAATCAGGAACGCAAATGATGGAAGAGAGGGTGGGATTTGCATGATGGTGAGGGGTAGAGCAGAAAGACGCCTGCTTCCTCCCTGTTCTGCCTTTTATGGATGGCAGTCCACTGGCCAATCCCATGGACTTCAACAGTCCCGTAGCCAGGAAGGGCTGAAATGGTCCAGCCTGCACTTTGGTGTGGCTCACCCTCCCAATCCAATGCCATCTGTAATAGCCAGCGCCTCTCATTGACTGTTTAAGTTACGCTTTTGGAGGGTACCATGTAGTCTGAGGAAAATGTATAGCACGTCAACAGCAACTTTCTGATTGTTAAACCAGAATGGAAATTGGTTTATGGTTTGTGACACAGCTCACGTATGTACGCAGATGTTGCAGATGTCCATATGGCAAAAATACATGTCATCAATCAACTTATATATCCCTTTGCTGGGGAAAAAAAGTGGCAGCTTTCATTTTGCTAGTTTACATGAAATTATTTATGTTGCCTTTGAACACTGTGTTCAAATTTTCATACATGTGCAAGCTGTGTGCATGTGCGACGACAATTACCGTGCTTCTGCATGTAGTTACAGCAACTGTGCGTGCAAGGAACATTTATGCAGATAACTGTTCATTGGCTTGTGCACACATAATCACCTAAATCCATATGTACAGGCAGTTATAACCACTTGGACATGTATGTACCTTGAGAATTTCTAATTGAATTTTGGGGGGGGGGGAATGGTTGGGGGAGTTACAATACACTATCATGAATAGGAAAAATTGTGGTAAAACATTAAACAATTCTAGTTTTCCCCAAACAGCCACTAGATAGAGGCAATATTTTATACTGAACTATAAAACTTTCATATGAAATCAGCTCTTATGAAAATATCAAGTTGCTCTTCTACAGATGGTAATTATTTCTAAACATTGAAAGTTTAACCAGTTAGCCACCAACAGCAATTCTTCACCATTCTAAGTGACATGTACAAAGATATCCTCCTGACATTAGTACTACAGCATTCATTTCAGACCTCACTTCGTCTGATCCCTGACGATACATGTTAGGTGCCATTTAATTGTGCAAGATGCAGTTTTCCTCAAAGTTGATTGTTACGCTATCTATAGTGGCTCATGACCATGTCTATAGTGGCTCATGACCAGGGCAGACTGTCAAAAACAGGACAGACAACCCAAACTGGTTTTAGATTTCACCAAGCCAGTAACATATGTGAACTCCTAGATCACTTTAACAGTCTCGCCATGCAGTTACAGACAGTTCCCTTAGACTCTTCAGTCTATCTTGCCACCAAAGCAAACTGGACTTAGTGATAAATGTTCACTTACATCAAAAAATCACACAATATTCAGGTTGCTTCCAGTGTTATACTTATAAGAAGCACACAAGATCTTTTATAGGGGAGAAGGGAAAAACGCCCCATTTATTGAGAATACAGCAGTTAGCATATGCTTTTCAGTTACACACACACACACACACACACACACACACACCATGCACACAGTCCTGCCAGTTGATGTTTATAGTTACCAGTCCAGAGTCTGGATCAATCTAGTGGCCAGCCAGATTGGTCGCAGAGGGGAGCAGGGCTCTGTCGGTCGCGATCCGATGCTCCTGGAGTGTGGCAAGACGAACCCAAACCCCATGGCAAAGCACTCTGTTCTTATAGTCTTTTTTCTCTGTTGAAGTTTATGGATTTTGCTGTGTCAGTTTATGACCGGTTACTCCTTAATTGGTGTTATCTTTTGATGTAAACATTCCAAAACACCTCCGAGAGGGTCATCATGTCCCCGATTTGATTTAATCCATTGTCTTTAGGTGTGCCAGCCTCCACCTCAGGGTCGTCAATCTGCCCTTCCTCAATCATGGATGCTCGTTGATGGTTCTCTGGCATCAAGAAGTCATGATAAGTGTCTTCGCTCCTCCTTTCTTGACCATCTGGTTAACAATGGCCTTCACACCTTATCTTTTCCTCATGCATGCATTCCTCATTCACACAAACAATCTTTTACAGAGACCTTTGAGAATACAAACAGCAGTATTTTATATCGAGCAAAAAGACATTGTAAATTAAACCTTGCTAAGTTTATAACCAAAACAATTCACATTGAGGCCCAGGCCTTCAACGTTCCCCTAATCTACTTAACATAGACACAATACAGGATCCTGCCTCTTACTAACTAAACCTTAAAACAAAGAATTAAAAAGGGCCCAATTTGTAATCCATATGGGAAACAGAATCCCATAGTTCCAGAGGGTCATTCCTTTCTGCTCAGGGGCGGCTCCAGGCACCAGAGCAGCAAGCGCATGCCTGGGGCAGCAAGCCACAGGGGGCAGCCTGCCGGTCCCTGTGAGGGCGGCAGTCAGGCTGCCTTCGGCGGCATGCCTGCGGGAGGTCCGCCGGTCCCGCGGATTCGGTGGCAATTCAGCGGCGGGTACGCCGAAGCC